CCTCTGGCCCGGAGGAGCCGCTCCCGCTCGCTGCCCAGCCTCTCCAGTTCCCGCTCCAACTGCACGATGGTCTCCAACTTTCTCTTGCGACAGTTCTGGGCGGCCACCTTGTTCTTACCCCGCCGTCGGATGTCCCGGACCAATGCCAGCTGGCTCTCCGTCAGTGGGTACCGCGCCAACAGCTCATTAAAGTCATCTACCGGCAAGTTGACAATCTTGTCCGTCGGGAAGGGAATCTTCATGGCCAGGGCCCGTCGCTCATCCCGACTCCCCGCCTCCCCCCGTGCAGTGGACTTGGCCCGCACAGGGCCTGAGGAGGGTTCTAAGGCTAAGGGGGTCTCTGCAGGTGGCAAGGCATAGTTGGGGTGGGCTAAGGAATTGGGCATAAGTGAGTAGGGGTACTCCACCGGGTACATCTCTACATACTCGCCGCGCCGTCGGCCAGCCTCTGTCCCCTCCAGCTCAAGAGATTCAGCATCGCTATAGTTGAGGGATAATCCTGAGTCAGATTCTGGGTCTTCTTGAGGCTTGGGGGGCCCCCCTGGCAGCCCAATGTCCAGGAGAGCCAAAGGATCTGAGAGGGGCTCACTGAGCAGACCGGAGAGAGTCAGTGGCTTGGAGACCGGTATGGCCATGTTGCCATAGGAGTATGAGGGGTCTGGGACATGAGATGTGGGTGCTGGGAGCTCATAGGGTGGTGGAGGAAGGGAGAAGCCAGCATCTGGGTGGATTGAGCAGGGGCAGTAAGTTGGAGGCGGTGGGGGTCCAGGGTATGGGGCCTGGGCAGGGGGCTCAAACGACGTCTCACTTGGAGCATTTAGTCCCTGCAAGAAAAGCCATAAAGAAGTTTTGGAGACAGGCTGAGGAAGAGAAACCAGCTCTCTCTCAGGATCAAGCTGGGTCCTTCTGAAAGACACAGTGAGATAATAACAAGGGAACAGAAAGGTGCTAAAAAATCACCCAAAGCTTCTTGTAAGGTTGCAGCGCAGCTATTTTAAGCAGAAAGCAGCTCAAACTTGAATGAAAGTCACTGAAGTCCGACTTCAGAAAAGACTA